GTACTGTAGCTACCAGTCTAGGTGACTTGACACTGTGTAGAAGGGTCGATAGCATTCGAGCTGCACTAATAAAGAATAGATACGCATAACATTGATCATCACTAAGTGATCAATCAATTGTGAAACGTTTGTTGTTTTAACAATTCGTTGAATGACCTTGTTCTTTACATACTACTTTCAAATAAAGGTCAACAAAATATTTACACTATTACTTGATTGATTGATTTAGATTATTGATAATATTTTCTTTTTATTTGAATAAACTATTTAAACTATTTTAAGTGTAATATTCATATTAAAATACTGGTAATAGTATTAAGTTAGTAAATTACTAACGTAGATAATCTATGCCAAATAATTGAGGGCCTACTAGAGTTAAACTTTGAAGTCACACCTTACGGTCAGCACCTAACGTGGTTTACCCCTTTGACGTATCATAGTACTATGGTTGCTTTAAAGACCGTATAACATAAAGGATGTTATTAAGGAAATATATTAGTAAGAACGAGTACAGAGAAGATATTGAAACCACCACCACCACATAGGTTAGTCCACGGTATACCATTAACTGATGTGTATTGGTTATCCTTGACCTTGAAGAGAATCGATGAACTATTCGATATTCAATGACCCAATTGATAAATGATTTGGTTAAAGTTGTGAAGCGTTTACGTGTGAGACTGAAAGTTCTGGGTTCGGATCCAATGTATGGGATCGTGGATACACAATGATGAAGTATCCCATCCTAGAACGAAACGGTCGTCTAGTTCTTTCAGGTTTTTCAAAGTGGTATAACTTAAATCAACTCATGAATTCAACTATTCCAATTACTGCAATCTCAACAAACTCTTCATTTTCATTGATAATTACCATATATTAAAATATACCACTTACTATTGAATGACATGTTAAAATAACAAATAATTGAGATCATGTACTTACAATTAAGTACAGACCACATTAAGTGATTATCAACATTGATATCATATTAATGACCTTATTTGTATTGTTTTCTAACAAAAAAATAAATCCTACCATGTACCGGATCTAGTTTATAGAGTTTTTTTTTGATTAGTTCATCTAAACATGATTGATTTTATTGATTTATCAAAACCAGTTGGTTAATTATGTAATCCATGTATTAAATAATCAAGATTAGAAACTGATACTTACTTACTTACACCTGTTACCCTCCCACACTCCAAAAAAAGAACATTGGCCGTCGGCCAACATTCTCCAACCTACTATATCCTAGGTCTTTATTTCTAGTTCTATGCAGTTGTTGTTCATTTTTCTCATGTCTATCTGTTTCCATTTCTCGGCGTAATGTGTTATTTGGTCTTTTTCTTTTGATTTAACCTTGAAGATTCTAAGTGATGAAAGCTTACCTTGTGACGAAGTTGGGTACTTTTCGGATAGACAGCCATTTATTGATTAATGGAAATTATACTGATTTTTAACTGAATTGATAGTTTAATTTGAAGGGTTTGGAATTTTTTGAAAAAAGAACACAATAATTTTCGGTACTATAAAACTGTTGAAATTCAATCTAACACTCAGTGGAACTGTTATAGGATCAACATCTCTAATAGAAGATCAATATAAGATAGATTACACAAAGTGACTAACAGTTTTAAGGCAACTGATAATAATCTTATTGGTTCATATATTTGACTTCCGCTAATGTGTATTGTACTATTTCAGTGAACGAGAATACAAGTGAGGATAATCGATTGTATTTGAATACAACATTACAGAGTCAGTCAGTTACAACATAGGATCAGGCACATGATAGAACGTCTTAATAAAATCGGAGAACGATATAGTAAATACTTCAGATGCAAAATATCAAACAATCGTCTCAGAATTTATTGTTCATTCGTTTCTACACTAATCATTTTTTGTTCTTATCCTGTTCTCTTCAATCTTCTTAACCTTTTACCTCCAGGCATTTCACTTTTGATAGATGTTATATACTACTTATATCTATCAACATCAGTAGCATATACCACACTATAATCCTCTTCGGTTAGAATTATTAAATAATTGTTTTACGTTCAATTTGATATAACCATAATTTGCAAATTTTCAAAAATTTCTTCTGAAATTCATTCACTGGTTAGTATTTAATTGAACTGGACGCTTTTAACACAGGTCCCATTTAACAAAATGGATAATGGTTGTTTCAAGGATATTCAACTTGACATTGGTATGACTATATAACAAACTTTTCCATTATATCAGTGATGCATATTAATCCCTTACTAATTAAAAAGTTCATCACAATTGATGGGTAATTTACTGTATAGGACGAAACGGCCATCCAGTGCTTCCAGGTCTACCATGGTAGTGGTCTAGCTTCAATTGACTCTTGATTTCAATCAGTGAAATTTGTAAAATCTTCACAAAAACCCTTCTGTATAGTTTTTAGTTCCAGCATCATTCAAAGATGTTATTTTAAAGTGATCACATATAAAATCATTTCACAGCGATAGTTTTCTTATCTTGTTCATAGTTCAGGTAATGCATGAAGGAATATACTTTTTACCAACTATTGGATTATTGAACATGTAAATGATACTCAATTAATCATCAGAGACTTATGTATAGTTAGGTCAGATATGAGCTTAACTTTTTAGTTAACTGATTGTATTCTCCATCAAATATTTCTAAAAAAAAAATAAATTTTAGAAATAGATTCAATCATGAATTGAAGTCAACTGGAGAATAATTGATAAAGAAGGGGTTTCATACTCAGTAGTATGTACCCACAATACAATCAGGGATCAAACACAGGACCTTGAAATCTTAGGATGATCATTAGATCTTTAAACTTACTTACTTATGCCTGTTTCTCCTCGTGGAGGAGTATAAGGCGCCCACAAGCACTCTCCATCTAAACCTGTCATGGACATTCCTTTCCAGATCTTTCTAATTGTTATTTATCCTTTTCATATCTGATTCTATTTCCCAACGTAATATGCTCTTTGACCTATTACTTATACTTGAAAACAAGGAAACAAATTAATGCTTACCCTGTAATAATGTCATTTAGCTTATCATTGCTGATATTCAATACTGTAATTGATCAGTTTCAATTATTCTATATATACATCATGAGTGGATTCTTTTCTTTCAACAAACTTTTGTATATTTACTCAGTAACTGGTAATTAAATTCAAGACGCAAGTCGTTTGACATTTTAAACGATAGATACTAAGTTCTTATCTCATTGTATTGAAGATCAATATTGAGATCTAGGTACTACTGGTTAATAAATCTTAAATAAAACAAAATGTGTATCTTTGCTTCCACTACTAACTGTACTAAAATTGATTACTTTCTTTCACCAAAATGTACAAAACCTAATATAGTGTGTGCTACTAATATCGATAAATATAAATAGTATATATCATCAATTGAAAGTAAAACACCTGGTGGTAGAAAGTTATGAAGATCGAGGAAAAACGAATGACAACAGAGAATGTCTGGTATGGAAACGAAGGAACAACAAAGTCTGAGATAATTGATTGACATTTTACAAATGGTTCTTACATTTTACTAAGATGTTCTGTAATGTTATATTCAAATAAAATCGATTTTCCTTAGTTGTATATGTCCATTCACTACATTAGTACATTACAATATTTCATTATATCATTTTTTCTTAAAACTAAATTCTTCTTTTAAGAAATTATGGATAGTGTCTAGCAGTAGAATCCAGTTTGATGCGTGTTTCACCCTATTTAGGACTTATCAGTTGGATAATACTTAAGTCGCTGAGTTGATATTCACCCCGGGACTCGAACCAAGTCCTAAATAGGTCGAAACGCGCGTCTAGCATTCCTTTACTAGCCACTGTCTATCTTTGCTTAAAAATCTTATATCAGTCATTCAGTCAGTCAGTAGCAACGTGGAACTTCGTACGTACGTACATCAGTTCGAGTTGCCATACCACATTAGCACAGATATTCAGTTATCAATTCAAATCCCGTAGTCGTAGAGGTACTAGAAGTATAAGTAGTAATAGGGAACGTTAGGGGTTGAAGATGTTATTCAAGGAGTACAATCCAGTGGAATAGATTTGGAAAGAAAATAAAATACATGAAGTATTCAGAAGATTAGAGTTTGAGAGAACACAAAGAGTGGATGCACCTGCGCCATTGCAAACGAATTTGAGTCATGTGATTCAATATCTCTAACCATCGGTTGCTATCGTCTCGTGGATCTCAACCAGGTAGTCTATACATACCAACATGGCCCAATCCACTTGTCAGTGACTTCATAGATTTGTGCCATGTTTTGGTTTGGCCGCCCTTAGGTTTCTTCGAACCTACTCCTACACCATAAAACATCACACATCAGGGCAGTCAGTGTTCAGGCATACGTAACACATATCCCAGCCATCTCAACTGACTAAGTTGCAGTCTTAAATAACAATCAGAAGATATAAGTAAAACAACATTAAGTGAATATAAATTCTTGTTTTATCCCACCCTCTCTCACTCTCCTTTTCTTTCTTAAAATGATAATCAAATCATCAGAAAAAAAAATCCAAAAAATTTATTAAATATACACTAATCAACATTTTGTGCCTCCCCCCCACTTTTTGTTTGTTCAAAAATGTATGAACCAATCAAATGATTGGATTCGTTTCTTCTTTTTTTTAACCAAATTAAATTAACCAATCAAAATTAAGTAATCAAATATATTTTGTCTAGAAAATCTAAAATGGTTTATTCTAATATTATACATTAAAAAAAACAAATTAACTTAGTAACCATTGAAAATAAAATGGATCAAGTTTATTTATTATAATCATATATATGTATATAAATGGATTCTATGTCAATATTGTCTTCCAAATTTTTGTTACTGAGGTAAAATGCAAAAAAATCCAACAATTTAGTAACTATATGGAAAATAAAAAAAAAAAACAAACAAATAAACAAACTTTGAAATTTTAATTAAATCAATCAATCAATCAATAATTATCAATAATGTATTTATATGAATTCTATCTATATCTCATTATTACTTTATTGATATATGATATTTATGGACAAAATCAATTCTATTCATCATTACGTCCAAGACGTTTATTACCAGCTGATTCATATACAATATTAGGACAAGCTGGTTTAAGACGTTTAGGTCAATGTAATATTACATATGCATGGTTAACATCACCACCAACATCAAGTTTAGATGCATATGGTCATGCTACAGCATGTAAAAGATTACAATTATTCAATGGTGAAATAATCCCTATATCATCTAATGATTATTTAAATAATAATGAAGAAGATTTAAATCAAGCTGAAAAAGAATTAAAATATATTAATCATGAATGGTCAGCATCATTAATTGATTTAGAACGTTTAGATTTATTAATACGTGCTGAAGGAATTAGTCTAACTGAATCCAAACAATTAGCTAATGATCCAAGATATTTTTTTCTTGCTAATCGTATTGGTGATTTAAATTTAATGGCTGTACTTCGTCCTGATAAACAATTAAAACTTGAATTAATTAATCCATTAGCATCAGAACAATTAGTATTAACACCACAACATGTACTTTGTTTACGTAAACAATGTCCAACTAATATAAATGATATAAATATCAATATAACAAAACAAGATAATATAAGTATTATTAATGGAATGAATAATATAGTATTAACTAAAACTATTGAAAGACAAAATCGTGAATTATATATGCAATTAGTTATATCACGTGTTGCATGTGCTTTAATTAGTTTTATGTGTGTTGTATTTGCAATGACATCATTAACATTATGTATACGTCTTAGACAAAATCCAAATTATATTAAAAAACATATAATACGTTCATCACAAGCAAGTATTTGTAAAGAATCTCAATCATTATCTAAACCATTTTGTCAATTAAATGGTAAAATAAATATGAATCAAATATCACCATTATTTATTACAGAACAATCATCAAGACATTATGGAATAACACAGATACCAAGTGAAACAGCTAGTATGAATAATATTGTTATGACAGCAAGTAATATAAGTACATATGATCCACATAATACTATACAAAATATTCCTATTTCTTATTCTACATTCAATACACAATATGCACATATATCAAATTATCCAATGAATGGTACATCTACTATTCCATCATATAATGATAATTCTGGTTTAATTACAATTTATCCAATACCATCACATAGTTCAATTAATTCAAATCAACATAGTTTATTATTTCAATGTCAAAATGGTTCAATTAGTCCAGCACCATCAAATCATTCTGATAATAAAAATAGTATTTCACATACTGGTTCATTAGGTAGATATTCACGTAATAGTGTTTGTTATGGAGATAGTACACGTAAGAAATTATTATATCAAATTAAAAAATCACATCAAAATTCATTACAAACAATGAAACAACAACCAAATGATTTGAATATATCATTATCAAATAATCGTCCTATTCCAATAGTTCAACAACACCCACAACATCCACAACAACCACAACAACCACAACAACCGCAACAACTTCATCAATCTATAAAACATGATGATAATATATCCGGTAAACCGGATGATTTAATCTCTTTTCAATATACACCTAATTTTACAACAATAATACATCGTTATCCAACAGAATTACAATATAATGATATGAAATCTATTCCTAATATAGATATGGAAGAAACTAATTCAGATATAATCAAATCTAATAATTTTAATCATATAAATGAACCATCTATTAATGTTATACGTAAACCAGCTCATGTGAATTAATTAAAGTGAAACAATAAAGTGCCTTTATAACTTATTTCAAATCTGTTTCAGATAATATAAACAAATAGAAACCTACATTAGATTCATTATTCAATATATTCACTTTATTAAAACAAATAAACAAGCAAAAAAAAACACAACAAGAGTTTACATCATTGAACATTGAATACTCTAAGTATATTTACAAAATCAATATCTTTATATGAAACAAATTTAGTAAGTTGACTAAATTAATTATGTATATCACTATGTATGTACGTAGGTGTGTGTGTATGTGTGTATGTGTGTATGTATGTATGTATGTATGTAATGAATTATTTACTTTTTATGATTAAAACTAATACACATGTGTACATTACAGTAGACCGGTTTGTGGTTACGCTCCCCCCGCTCCCTTTTTTTTCTTTTTTTTTTATCAAAAAAAAAACGACTTCATTAATTAGTGATCTTTTTTAAAAAAAAAAGGCATTCGCTTTAGTTTCTGTTGGTATTTTTCGGTTTTGGTTGGCGTTCTCTTTATATTTGAAACAAGTACTGGCTTACTCTATTATGGTTGACTGTTCTTTTTGTTTCTTTTTTCGTTTTTTTTTTGTTTTACTTTATCTATGAGCAAAAGAACTTATTTAAATGATATTATAGAATATCTAAATGAAATAAAGTATGCTTGTTTTTGTTTTCGTTTTACCTTCTTTATTATTTATATTGAACTCTCACAGAGAAAAAAAAATAGTTTCCTGTCATCATGATTGTTTTATTTGTTTGTTTCAAAGAGGGAAAAACAAATCTATTTCATCATTTGTAAACATCTATCATGTTTCATGATGTAATATGAAGATTGAAAAACAATGTCACCTACTGATATCTTCTTTTATCATACTGTTAAGTTATCATGAAATGATGTTGTTTTTTTAAACTTTATTTGAAATATCAGAAGGTTATTATCATTATTCAGTAATACTAGGTAAGGAATTATCTGGGAAATATGAAGTACAAAATAAATAATAGTTCTTAGATGGAAACTCTTCAGAAATGTTGAAGCAATCTTCATGAAGTTCGATCTTATGTTTATTTTTATTAGAGCATAATATTGAGAACTGTTGAAGTGGGACATACTATACTGTCTAGTAACCTATAGTTGTTAGCAACGTTTCAATTCAAGACTTCTATTGAAATACCTTGAAAGTTGACAATTTTCTTTATATACCTTGTCAAAAAGTAACTGATCATGTAGTAAATATTGTTGTTACTAAGGTGATTTGTGGAGATTGTAGTATTTTCAAAGTTGAAATCATGAATCGATCTAAGCTCTATCATCATTAAGAATCTGAGAATACTAGATGGCTTTTTTGTTCTAGTATGATACTTCTTAGAGTTGTGCGTTCACGATTCCAAACATGAGACTTCAATCCAGGACAATCATTTTAGTGCGTGAATAATCAAAATCATGACCACTGAACTGGCATCCAATGATGTTAATTTCTAACTTCAATCGAACCATTAACATATACAACTCTTTATGTATTGTCTGAAATGGATAACTGTCTAACACCCGACATGGATTAGACTCCACTAGTCATAGCTTTTCACTAGAACTCCAGGAGTTACATCTTTAATCTAATTACTAATGAGTACATGATTGTTATTAATATATGGATTTGTAGAGATTGTTAAGTTTAGACAGATATCATCAATAGAACAATACTGTAGAATCCTATACTAGCACAAAACAGTCATTCAATACTTTCCAGATTTTCCATAATGATCTAGCTTCCATTGACTCATGATCTCAACTATTGAAATTACTATAATCTTCACAAAACCTCTTCTGAAACTTACTAAACAATGAATATGTTACAATTATTAACAGCAACAACAAAAAGCAACTACCTTAATGTGTCATAATGGTTTATCTTTCTAATCAGTCAACTATCTAAGATACTATACCATAGTAACAAAACAGTAAACGAAAAAGAGAACATTTTCACACACACACACACAAATTTTTTCTTTAATTTTAACTCATGGGGTGTTGTCGTTGGCTTTTTTTTTGTTGTTTTTTTTAACACAATGTCAAAATCAATGCACAGTTGTAGATCAGTAAAATTTGTTTCTATATTGATTGATTAATTAATTAATTGGTTGGCTGGTTGGTTGATTGGTTAGTTGATAATGAAATTTGATTAAATTATATACTAAGAATTTAGATTTATTAATAAGTTACAAAACAGTTTGAATCTATCTAGGTAATAGAATACATATGGATAATATAGATGACAACCAGCATCTTAAAAAAGAAAAAAAAATGTAGAGAATTCTGGAAGTACATTATTTCATTTTATTCTAATCGATAATTTAACAGATCTATATCATTTTTTCTTTTTTTCTTTTTTCTTTTTTCTTTTTTTCTTTTTTCTTTTTTTCTTTTTTTTTTGAAAATCGAAATATATACAGATATAAAGTAATTTTAAATAAAATAATATTTTGATATTATATAAGATAAAATATTGATTACGTCATTTTGATAAAACTTTCGTTTTCTTTTTCTTTTTTTTCGTTTTCTTTTTCTTTTCTTTTCTTTTTTTTCTTCTTTTTTTAATACAAAAATTTGTTTAAATTTAAAATAATAAACAGTTAAGAGAATAGATATAAGATAAGATCATGATTGTACTTTAGTTTAGATAAAATGATGATCTTTTATATTTCAAAGATTAAATATATCTCCTAATCAATCAGGTAAAAACTACAATTTTTTTAAAGTACATCATATCAGAAAAGGTTGTTTATGGAGATTGTAGTCATTTCAATAGTTGAGATCATAAGTTAAATCAAGCTAGACTATTATGAAAAACTTGGAAGCACTGGACGGCCGTTTTGTTTTAGCATGAAACTTCTCAACAATGCGTATTTATGACTCCGCCTTTTGAGATTCGAACCCAGTACCTATCAGTTTCTCGGGCTAGTGCTTAACCACTAGATCACTGAACTAGCCGGTATCCAACGGTGTTAATGTCTAACTTCAAATGATAGTTCCTGGATTCGAATCCTGCGAGGAGGGGCAGTTGATGCGCACTGTTAAGAAGTCCCATACTAAAATGAAAAGGCCGTCCACTGCTTCCAGGTTTTCAATAGTGATCTAACATCAATCAGTCCATGATCTCAACTATTAAAATAAAGTTGAATCGAAACGAACATGAATTTCAGTCACCTCTATTGATGAAAGTATTTTATCTGTGTTATCTATCATGCTTTTTTACATTTGATCCATTGTCTAGGTTATGTAATATTTATTAACTTTTAAATTCTTGAAATTAACAGTGCAGTTGTTGTGAATGAACACTCAGGTAGGAAAAACTAATTTATCACTTAATGCAAAATTGCATAGTTCTTTCGTAAAATGTGATAATCATGCATTAAATACTTCATTTGCATATATTTCATGCATTGTCCTTTACATCCTTCATGATTCTTACAATTCTCGTGGATGCACACTTCTAAAGAGTTCCACAATAGAACGAAACGGCCGTCCAGTGCTTCCAGTTTTTCCATGGTGATCTAGCTTCAACTAACTCATGATCTTAACCGTTGAAATATTCGATTCCTTAATGATTTCCTTGATATTATTTTCAGTTTCACCTTATCAACCGTCTTTTGATAAGTATTCTACTTCTGACTGTTATTGCATGACAATGCAGATGGAAATAACTAGTGTAGCATCATCCTCTGAATCAATGGGCCTCAACATACACAAAAAAGCAAGATCCTTAAATATAACGCGGAAAACACCAACTCAATCACACTTGAAGGGGAATCTCTGGAACATGTGGAATCTTTCACGTACCTGGAAGGCATCATCGATGAACATTTAGAATCTGATGCAGACGTGATAGTAAGAATTGGAAAAGTAAGGGCAGCATTTCTACAATTGAAGATATATGGAACTCAGAACAACTGTCTGTCAACCAATATCAAGATCACAATCTTCAATACAAACGTCAACACAGTTCTACTGTACAAAGCTGAAACTTTGAGAATTACTACAACCATCATCAAAGTAGTAAAAGCATTTAAAAGCACTCGTCTACACAAGATACTCAATATCTATTGACCAGATCCCGTCAAAATCAGCTTACTACGGAAGAGAACAAACCAGCTTCCAGCAGAAGACTAAATTAAGGAAAGACATTGAAAGTGGATAGGACGTGCATTACGTAAATCATCAAGGCAAGCATGAACTTGGAATCCTGAAGGAAAATAGAAGAGAGGAAGGTCGAGGAACACATACAGTCGAAAGTTGGAAGCAGAAATGAAAAGGAAGAATATCAACTTGGAATAACTGTAAAGGATTACCCAGTACAGTGTTGGATGGAGAGTGCTGGTGGGCGGTATATGCTCCTTCACGAGGTGTAACAGGAGTATATAAGTAATCTATATCAAGAGACATCTGTAGCATACACCATAGAGTTATACTAACGTTCAATCGATCTGATTACTGAATGAATAAAGTATGACCAATGTTATCCATGATCTGACTGATTAACACTGTTAGAAAAAAAACCAATTATTTATCAAGATCAAAGTGTACATCATATTTATAACGAATTCACAAGGTTACATAATTAGTTACTATGGTCACAGAGTTATTATCATTATCAGCTTTAGTTTTTCTTTAAAAATCATCTGTTATTACATTCGAATCTCGAGGGGGGGGGTGAGATCGTAGATGCGCATTGCTGAGGAGTCCCACAATAGGACGAAACGACCGTCTAGTGCTTCCAGATTTTCCATGGTGGTCTGGCTTCAACTGACTCATGATCTCAACTATTGAAATTACTATGATATCCAAAAACCCTTTATGATATTATATTTTTGTTTAATTAATTAAAGACTAAAACTACTGTACTATGTAAATTGTACCATCATTATGTTCATAATAGATAGAATCATTATTGATTTTACTGATAAGGTCAACTATAATATGTTCATCATGAATATTTATGTAA